CTATCTATCTATCTATCTATCTATCTATCTATCTATCTATCTATCTACACACACATATGTATTAGGGTGATTTCCCTCGGGTTCCAGGAAGGAGACCCCTGCTTGGGGAAAGAAAAGCCTCTCACAGTTCCAGAAATAAAATGCAGATCACTACCGCATGGTTAGTGAGTCTGCAATGGCGCCAGCCGTTATCTCTTTAGGCGCGTAATGAGTTAAATCGGCTCAGCAGCACTTCCACGCCTTGTGGGGATCGATACAGCAGAGTTTCCCTTTGAATAAAAAGGCGCGGTGGGGCAGATGGGCGCTGATGCCTCCACCCGAGACAGTGTTCCCAGGGGAGAGAAAAAAGCCTCGGACCCTTTTAAAATGGAGCCTCTCCCGTCAGGCGCGGGTGGCGGCGATTGTAGCGGCTCGGCTTGAAAAGATCGTAATGTGAGTTGTTAGCAATGCGGCTGAGGCATTATCACCTCCGATCGTCCTGGAGATGAGAGATCATTATCTGAAGCTACGGTGAGCTCCCTTGGCTCGAGTTATATATCGTAGGGAGCTGCTTGACTCATTGAAACTAAAAGCCTTAAAGGAGATGTTTACAGTTTAAAAGCAAACCTTTTTGTTGACTCCTTTTGAAGCCTTTGCTATTCCGGCCAAGGGAAAGGAAATTAAGCTGCCTATATCCACGAAGGCTGAGCAAAAACTAGGGACGCTACGGAGGAGTCCCGTGGAGGAGGAGGAGCGTCCTCTCAATTAAAGCCCAGCCTATCAAATGAGCGACAGAAGCATCATCCCAAACAATGGATGCTCTGAACAGCTCATCTGGAGAACTTAAACGTAGTGTTATTAGACTACAAGCTTATTTTCTGTACTACACTGCTTCTATAAAATAATTCAAGTTAGCAGATATTCCCTTAAATTTCTAAGAATTAGAATTTAATTACTTAAATTTCTAAGAATTATTTCAAATTCTGCATTCTATTTCTAGCAAGGATCAATCAACCTACTATAGAACAGTGATATTTTTAGCATGCAGAATTAAATAGCATACTGACTCTGAACATGCCAAACTTTTATAAACCTACAGTTAAAGGTAAAAACTATTAACCTCATAACTGGAATCTGTTTTTATTGTTCTGCACTTTGGAACTGCTTTAACAACAAACATGTAAGTTAGAAATAATATATAAATGAATAAATATCACCATCATATTGGCCATGAAATGGTATCAGAAAAAAAGTAAGATTAATTCCAGAAAAATATAACTCAAAAATCATAAAATATTCTCGCTGCACATTTTAATACAGTATTTTTTTTGCTTCTGCTCCATGCACTAAATATCACATTTAAATAAGAGGCTTTTTAAATCCTTACACTATGCAAGATTGTTTAATACTGTTTAATAGAACTCTATTTAAATATATATATATATTAATATGGATCTTACTATTCTTACATGAACTTAGGGAATGTGTTATAAATAGCCAAAATTATGATTTCTACAATATTTTTATCTTCTACATATCTTATTTATATATACTTTTATACAGTTAAAGTTTTGAACTAGAATCTGGGGGAACCATGAGTTCTAATCCTTCCTCTATCATGGAAACTTGGGTTTATTTATCTTGGGGCCAATCATTCTCAGTTCAACACATTTCACAGAGCTGTTGTTCGTGAAGAAAATGGAAGCACTGTGAATACTGTCTTGAGTTTAATAAAGGGTGTGTGTGTGTGTGTGTGTGTGTGTGTGTGTGTGTACTTTTATTTATTTAAGTCTATCTTTCTCTTTAATATAATACTATCTTTACTGTAAAGAGAGATATTTATTCTTAATGTCGTAAATACAAAATGCAGTAGGAAGTTATCTGAAGAAGCATTATTAATACCAGTATTGCAAATAAGTGTCAAGTTTTCTAAGTGATATTTTAAGATTGGTTACTGCTTTATTAATGATTTTATTATTTTTGAAATATTGCATATCTAGAAGGAACTTCATTTTGAATATTATAACTAATATTAATAAATAATGATAATAAAGTCAGGACAGGATAAATTTTAAAAATCCCTAATTGCAAATAATGGTATTTCTAGAGTTTTGCTGATGGAAACAAGTCCAGGACACTATAGCTAATTTAACACCACTTGTAATTTTAAATGTCTTATATCTACTTATGTAATTAGGAACTATTCCTATTTCCGTTTCATTTATATTTCTTTATAAACCATCTTGATATAATGTGATCTTTATCAAAGCATAAGTATCATATAAGAATTGATTTAAATAGCTAATACCTATTTAATATTTTACTATCTTTCTTTGATGCTTTCACAAATGGCTTTCACCAACCCTTGCTATATCCAAGCATTTTCAATATAGTGTGATTTAATATAGGGATGGGTGCTTTCCAGATGTTTTAGACAACCACTTTCATAATCCCTTACTGCTGGACATACTAGAGAGGCTGATGGGATTTAAAATCCAAAGTATCTTATTCCCGTCTATGGATTTTGCTGATTTTGTGCGGTGGCCCATTTAGTCGCAAAGAAACAGACATGATTTAGCAACTGAACAACAAGAACAAAATAATAAACTTTCAGCATGGAGGACAAAAAATAGTTCCAGATTCATCAGTACAGTACCCCAATAAGAAAGGTTCACATGAACAAATGCCCACCAAACTACAATGACAAGGAAACTGTATTCATTACCATGAACCAAACATTACTTTTGGACAACTAGAATTCAATTTTCTTCTATTTAATTTACATTGCCTAGAACTGCTTCTGTGAGATGGGTAGCCAAATAAACATGATAAATAAATAAATTCTACTATGTCCCTGTGTGTCACTTTTTAATATATATTTTCAGTTTATAAAAAAATATTTGCATTAGATGTCCAATATTAATGAGATGTAATGTATAAAATCCTACTAGAAATGTAACTTTTATCAGAACCCAAGGGGGAAAAGAAAAAGATTTTCCATCACAAGATATCACAAAGCATTTAACCCTCATAATTTAGGAATCAGGACGTCTACAATATAATGTGATTATGTAATTTTTCTTTTGGAATTACTTGATGCTAGTGCAAAAATATAGTAAATGTTTAAAACTGAAATACTAAAAAACTTGATAGCTAGTGAATCAATTTTCCTTGATTCTGACCATATTTTTTTCTGTTTTTTAAGATTCATAAAAGGTTTATCAGGTAAACACAGGAAATTTCCTAAATTACAGGCTTCATAAAGCTACTTAATCCTTTGAGATTCTGTTCTAAAGTTCAGTGATAGCAAATAAGAAGGCACTTGCTGCAAATATTTGCATTTTTCATTGTTAATACCTATGTGAAACTTGCCCACCTGTTGCTGGTGTAGAAAGGAAGGGTCTCTTGGACTTAATCCCACATATCGATTGGCTTGGGAGGTACCTGAAGCTGTATAGGCTGATTAAGGAAGAACAAAACATATTGATAAAGACAGAAACCTACCTCATGTTATTCAGATATGAGAGACTCAGAATTATGAAGCATGAATCAGGTTAAGGGCATAATTCAAACCTGCCTATTGACTTCAATGGAATCTGCATGAAAATAGAACTACATTATCAATAATAAAGTTTCTAAATCATTTAATCCCCACCCACCCCAGTTTCATTTAAGAGAAGTTAATTCAATCTGATTCTCATCTTTTACCAGCTTATATTAGAATTCTACCAGTGGAAGCACAAGCAAGGTTAAAACTAACTCTTTGTGTAAGTATGGGTCTAAGGTACATTGCTTCTAATACTATCCATATACAAAATGCAAATGTTGATTTAAGAGTTGTTTTTAAAGTGGCATTAATGGTTTTTTCAGGTAGAGCTAATTATTTTAACTAACTGGTAGAAATTATAATATTATGATCAGTATTCAAAATTAAGTACTTGTGAAGAAAAGACAAGGTAAGAACTGATATTCATTCAGCTTAGCCCTAGGAGGTAACCATAATTTTGTAATGATTTAACTGATATAACCAAAATCATTAAAGAATGAAACGTGAATAAATAGAAGGTGGACTAATTTCAAAAATGTAGACTCACTTTTTGCGAAATAGTATGTATATGGTTTCTTAAAAGTATTATTATTAAAAATCCACTGAAGAGTTACAATAAATAATGTATCTACAGTGGGGTGTAGGAATGTGGGTGTTCTTAATTGTAATGGGAAGAATCACTTTAACATTTTTTAAATAAAAAGTTTAAGTAGACATGTAATACTTAACAAAAAATATATAATCACAGATAAATAAGTGTTGGTGCCTTTTTGTGCACAGATCTTATCTTAAGCACTGATTTAGTAGAATTAAAAGTGAATATATTCCTCAGTAAAGCTATCTCTTAGATACATAGTGAAACTAATAAAAATGTAAACTATAATCAATTTTAGATGTTATCTGTGCCATTTTTCATGCTACATTAAAAATGTACACATTACCGTTGAAAAACTGAAATCTTCATGCAGTAGTAAAATTTATTTAAGTATGTTTTACTATTGTATTATGTTTCTTCTCTTGAAGACCTATAATGAGCCCTCAAAGAAATACTATTACAATATTTAATACTCCCTATGTGTCCTTAACACTATTTAACATATTATTTGAGTAATGGTTCCTGAGTGCTCTGTTGAGATGGAACATTGGTGAGATTTAATGAAAACTCTAACAACCAGATCAAATCTGAACTACATTCCCATTCTGTTCTGACAGATGTGGTACTCTGGATCATTAAAAACTTATTTGCTGCTGTTGAAAAGTATAAGTTTCAGAAATAAAAAATTATAAGATAAATCATTTTTAAACTATTACCTGATTAATTATATTAATGTTAGATTAATCATAGCAGAACCAACCTAACTCTCTTAAACAGTGGTTATAGTGGTTACTATCAACCAAGAGTGAGCCTCTGCCAGAAACCTGGATGTTAAAATCTTCAGTACTGCTGGCAGAAGAATCTGGGATCTTTGCAAGAAAACAGCTTTTCTCCCATGCTGTTTCACTTTCCCATCGCACACAGGATTGCTAACATACTTTCTGTTCTCATTTTAACTCTCTATTTCATTAGCTACAGTAATGAGCCATGGTGGCGCAGTGGTTAGAGTGCAGTACTACAGGTTGCTTCTGCTGACTACTGGCTGCCTACAATTTGGCAGTTCAAATATCAGGTTGACTCAGCCTTCCATCCTTCTGAGCTGGGTGAAATGAGGACCCAAATTGCTGGGAGCAATATGCTGACTCCGTAATCCACTTAGAGAGGGCTGCAAAGCACTGTAAAGTGGTATATAAGTCTAAAGTGCTATTGCTATGAGTATATTTCAGACTTAGTTCAATTGGTATCATTTTTCCTAATGGTTTAACAAGAAGTGATGTTAATTTATGGACTTTGATGTCAGGTCCTGCATTTCTTATGACATAATAGTTATAGTTGCTGGGAGTTGTTTCAGCAGCATCTGGAGGACCACATGTTTCCCATCTCTCTTTTAAATATGTTTAATTTAAATGCTTATGCATGCCCTATCAAATCATCTCACATTAACACTTATTGCAAGTACTTACTAAATGAATTATAGTCAATAAATTAATGTTTGTTCTATAATTGCAAATATACATCTATACTAATATGCAGGTTAATTCAAGGACTACTTGAACCATTTTATGAAAACTAGTCAGATGTATTTCCAAGTGGTGGCAAAACCAAATGGAAGCAATGAATAAGAAAATAAATGAATGTGTATATTATTCAGTGCTCAAATTTCGTGCCACTATCTGCATATCACTAGTGACCAATGTGCTTGAAACTGTCCATTGAATAGGATATGGTAAGCCATTACAGCAAATGGATAGATAACACAACAGGTGTAAAAGGTTTCTTTTCCAGTAGACTTAATATGACTACCATAATGTTGCAATTTGTTGAAATGATTAATGTTGAAATTTGATTCAAGTAAGTTTAAAGTATTGTTCTAAAACTGCAATTCCATTGAAGACTATAGGATAATGGGCACAGTTTGAGTGCTACACAGATGTTTTTAAATCTCTTCAAATATAGCTATTCTGAAGGGTACTCATTATTCTAACGAATAAAATCACTTATATAAATTGGGTCTAGTGTTGTGGAACAAGATCTGCTTTCAAGAAAGCTCACTTAGGAGCAAGCAGCTAGATCTCTTCCTCTCTCTGGATTTCAGATGTCAGCAGTTTTGCAGCTATAAATCTTGACTCTGCTTCTGAAGGTTCTCAGAATGTCCATCATAAATTTAAAAACTGAATGTGCTTTAATTTTCCATTGGCAGTCGTTGGTCAAATTAGTTACCCTCTTTACTGTGGCTGCTCTATCAGAAAGGTTGCAGAGTAATTTGACTTTGAATAACTATAGAATACAGATAGTCCTTAACTTACAATCATTTGTTTAATGACTGTTCAAAGGTACAACATCACTAAAAAAAAACCTGACTTACAACTGGACCTTGGACTTATATCTGTTACAGCATCTCTGTGGTCACATGATCAAAATTTGGGTGCTTGGCAACCAGCATGTATTTATGATTGCAGTGTCCCAGAGTCATGTGATCGGCACTTGCAATTTTCCCAGCTGGCTTCCAACAAACAAAGTCAATTGTAAGGGAGCCAGATTCACTTAACGACCATGAGATTCACTTCCAAAGTGCAGTGATTCACTTAACAACAGTGGCAAAAATTGGGCACAAGTCACCTAACAATCATCTTGCTTAAGCAATGGAAATTTTGGTCTCAATTCTAGTTGTTAAGTCGAGGACTAAATGTAAAACTGTCATGATGTTATATCATTAATTGTGAGTGTCTGCTTGGTCAAATAGGAGGAAAAGGTGCCTTTACTGGCCTGAATTGGAAAGTGTTTTGATCCTTTGATGGACATTGATTTTCCCTAGGCAAAATACTTACTGGTTGCTGTAGGTGAAGATGCCTCACCTTCAGTGGATGTAGTGATGGGCTTAGTGTCTGTCATAGTCAGGGTCACAGGTCTCATCGTACTGTGATGGGGAGAGGGTGCCAAAACTGGAGTAAAATGGCCAGGCATTTTCCCTACTACTTGACCACTGCTGTTAGGCTACAAAACAAAACCAGAAGAATGCCTTGTGAAATACACACATAATGCCTTCTCTATCTTAGGGCTTCCAGAATTCTATAGCTGTAGAGTATCACTCTGACATACAAATCTTTCTTTCTGTGCAGTCTTGATGTGGGTGTGTTTAAAGCTTGTGCAACTTTTTCCTATGTACATAATTTTCTCAAGCATCTATTTATCAGGTAAGAGACTCACCATTGTCAGGGCTCCAACAAATCCACCCTCATTCAAATCAAAAGTCTCTTGCCGCATCTCAGAGAAAAGTAAATTGATTTATTAGGAGTGGCCATGCTGGCGTAAGCTGGATGCAGCTACTGATCCTGAATGTTTAGCAACATCAAATAAATAACTCAGCAAAAAGAAGCCAAATGTTATCAACTAGATTCTGCTCATCTTATGTAGATGACTGAAAAACTCCAATCCGTTGTGTAAAAAAAGTAAGCACACTCCATGTATTTTCTTTTTCGAGATGTTATCTTCATTCAAACAATATATAAAAATAAATTGAACAAAACCACTATGAAAAATAAAAACCATTTATTCAACCAAAATTTAACAAATGTACCGTTTCCTTCTACCATTGCTTTATGGAAAAAATAAGCACACCCCTTGGCTTTAAAATCTGGCCCTTAGACAGAAACAATCTCAAGCATATATTTCTTTTAACTATATACTGGTCTCTGACATAGACTGGAAACTATCTACCACTCATCCCCATGAAAAAAAAAATTCAACTGTGTGAAAGGGGAGGTTGAGGGGTTTCTTCAATGCACAGTGTTCAGTCCACAGCATCTCCATGGGATTTAGATTGGGGTTCTGACTTAGTCATTACAGAACTTGTATATCTCTTCTTTCCCCTTCCCCCAGCCATTCCTTGGTAGATTTACTGGAATATTTAGAGTCACTGTCAAGTTACAAGGTTTGCTTTTGGTTGAACTTCAATCTTCTGACTGATGGTCTCATATTATCTCAAGCACCTTCTGATACAATGAAGAATCCAGTACTTTATGCAACAAAGCAGTCTGAACTACAACATTTCCAACACCATGCTTTATCTCTGGTATCAGATTCTTCTGGTAAAATGCTGTCTCTGTTTTTTGCCAAACATTTTTACTGGTACTATTGATAAATAAATCTATCTTTGCTTCATCTCTCCAGAGCATATTGTTCCAGAAGTGTTGGACTTTGACTAGATGTTCATGAGCAAACTTCAGCCTTGCCCTGAAGTTCTTTCTGGACAACAATATTGTTCTCCTAGGATGCCTTCCATATACTTGTAGATCTAATTTGTGCAGTAGACTAACAGTAGACTCATGCACTTGGGATATCAATCCTGGCAACAACTCCATCGGTCGTATGATGAAATTCTGGGTTTTTTGGATACTTCTTTCAGCATCTTGTGTTCTACTCTCAGACTAAATTTGCTGAGATAGCCAGGGCAAATTTCTTCAACTATGGTAAATTGGCAGTTGTTTGAAATCTTCTCCACTTGTTAGATAATTGTAGATGGCCAGTGGAACGATTGATGTCCAATTGTTTGGAGATCATTTTAAATCTCTTCCCATAGGCATCACTAACCTTCTTTCTCAAATCCTCAGAGAACTCTTTCAATCTGGTGATATTGTACACTTTAACAACAAAAAAACCCCAATTAAGTTAAATATTTGAGGTTTAAATAAGGCAGGTTCCTTTCAAATCCTCCCTAATGAACACCTAAACTCATGCACCTGATCTAGTTCAGCTGATTCTTATTTTAGGTATTTTCCTTAGAAATTAAGTGCATACCTACTTTTTCTACATGTGAAGTGCACATTTTGCTTATTTAAATTACACAATAGACTGAGGCATGGTGCTTCAGTGACTTAATGATGCTGGAGATGACGTCTGTTCCAGTGATCTAGGTCCTGGCACTGTGTGGTGGAGGTGAGTTCCTGTCACTTGCCTCAGCTTCTGTCCACCTAACAGTTCAAAATCATGTTCCGTGTTTGTAGATAAATAGGTACTCTGTTTCAGGCAGTCAGATTCCTGTTGGCTTGGAACCTTGCCAGTTGCAACACCCATTTGCAAGATGGCTCTGGTGAAGAAAAGGGGCCTTAGATGACACTGCAGGAAGAGATGCTTGTATTACTTTCTAGCGCAAAGCCAGCTCGCTTTCTTGAGGCGCACATTGGGAAGCACACAAGCATGTCCTAATAACACCATATGCTAATAACACCACCACCACAATGGACTACAAAATGTAAAAAGTGGAATGATATTTGTTTTATCATTTGCTTTTTAATTTCACAATATTGTTGAATTAAAGATCAAACATCTGTATGTTGGAATATGCTGAAAAAGTTTTTTTTAAAACATGGAGTGTACTTATTTTTTCACATTATTGTTATTCAGTGGGAACAAGAAATAAAAAAGGATTCCTAATAGGTGATCCAGGACACTTACCAGAATTCCACTACGAATTTGATATTAACATTACAGCCTGAGAGTTTAATTATTGCACAAGTATTACCTATTACAAATGCAGATGCCCCTACATAAACATTGGAAACTGTATATTAGTTTGGCAGGAGGAATAACATGGTAAGTTAACCATATAATTAAAGAATAGTCAATTGCACTAAATTAATTGTAGTAAAATTAATTTGATTACTAGGAAATAATTGGTATATAATAGAACCAACCATTTTATGTTTATTGCTTCAACTATTTAAAAGGATGCCTAAAATATATGCCTTGGCAAATCCATTTGTATTCACATCAAAATACTGATAAAATGCTTCTAAAAACCTATGCCATTGTCTGTGCATAACACATGAAGTATATATAAGCAACTGTGTGATAAAATTAAACATATAAATATTTTAACTATTAAATGATAAATGGAAGGTATGATTAAGTAAGCACATATAATTCTAAGATTACAACCATTCTAAAATATCTGCAGCCATAAAATCTACAATGTGTAATAAACTAGAAATATTAGATATTGTATAACATCACTGCAAATAATGTACAGCAGTGCTAAAAGTACTGATAAAATTCAGCAAATTATTTAATAGATTAATTCAATTAATGAACACTGCATTAGTTGAAATTAATCATCAAGAGATTACATTGGTCTCTGGCACTGACAATTATACGGGTACTATAACCCAACTACAGAATTCTCCTGGTTCAATTATCTTTTGATATTTAAATTTTAATTATACAATGTACCCTTTGATATGTGAATCCATGCACAAGTACAAAAAATAAAGGAAATTATGACAAGACCAGAGATAATGCAAGGTATGTTTAATATCCACTGATATTGATGACATTTAAATGCTTAACAGTAGGGTGAAGTACCACTTTAAATGAAATTTATAATACTTTTTAATGTTACAGGATGTTAAAAGAGTCATGGAACAAGATCTTTTCATAATATTTACAGTATTCAAGTGTGATGTATGGCATGTGACTCTATAGTATATTTTACCAGCCTTTAAAGGAATAGAGTCCAAAAACGTAATGGTATATGGGAATGACCTTGGAAGATAAATTGCCTTGGGAATGATCAGATAAGAGGAAGTATGTTGCAGCTGCATAGTAGGAAGACCAAGAGGCTTAATAACATGAGTTCTTAAGCTATAAAGATGATGGTGGGAGAATTGTACTTTCAGACTTCCAAGATTCTGTTCATGTAGCTTTGTAATAAAGTAGAATGTAGGCCAGATTCTAGACTTAGCAAGAATTTGATACACAGTGAGACACTTTCCAGCAGTTTTATCTCCCTCCCACCCTTAAGTCATGAAACAAATCTGTGTGTCATATATAAAGTGACTGAGACTTTGTCCTGAAAATGATCATAGCCATCATCACAGTAGATTGGCAGAATATAAAACTGCATTTACAAATTTTGGAACCTTGGTTTGGCCTCCCATTAGTGATGGGCCCAGGTACCCAAATATCTGAAGACACTGATTTGGTTTATGTTAGAGCTATCAATCTCCAGGCATAGTAAAATGAAATTATTTTCAGAAAATATAACACAAAGACTGCTTCAGAGGGTATCTTCAGCAAGTGTGGAATGGAGCAGAACTACTACTTAATATGGAGGGCTAGAATCTGGGTTTCATCATGGCTTAAGCCTGTGAATTAATACAAAATTTTAAAAGAAGAAGTGTCAGAATGTAGCTCTGCTTCATTCCTGGATTATAGGTGACTTACACTATGTTTTTTTCTTCATATAATTAATTCCACAAACAGCAAAGACAGGCATTGGTCAATGGAACAGGCAGACAGTTTTATTAAGCTGTATAATTACCAAAAAATGGAGCACTTAAGTTGAAATATCGCAAAAAACCTAGTTAAAAAGTAAACTTGATTAACATTTTAATGTTACTACATCTTTTTCCAGTCTTGTTTGACTGCTTTACAAGCTGTTTCTGTCAATCTCTGCATGGATGTGCATACCCAGACACTTGGTGTCACACCAAGTGGTGTCACAGAGCAGCTACTTTAAAAGATATGACTGGTTTAGTGATTCGAACAGATGTACTTAATTAATAAAATTATATTATATAATCATTGCGTAGATCCCAAGGTATTCCTACATCTTGTCAAGCGTTGCTTGAAGGATTTGCACATCCCTACTATATTTAGCATTAGCAAATGTATTCTGCATGTCTAATGCTCATGTTTTCAGAATAGATTCTAATGCCTAACAAAAGTACACCAAGCATACTAAATGGAATGTTTCAAAAATAAATAAATTCAAGTTGATTGGAATCGGCTATTTTAAAACAGATGTTTACAATTGCAGTACAGATCACGAAGGAATGGAGCAGCAATGATTGAACAGAATTGGAACCAGAATGGCCCAATTCTAAGTCCAAGGTGTGAAAGTTTCTAACATTCAGTCAGAATCTACCTTCTTACAATTTCTTGTCAATCAGTTTCAAGATTTACTGGAACAAGATTCTTTATTTTCTTGTCTATAT